CTGAAAAAAATGAAACAGATCTGTTTGCTAGAACTATGTTTTTTTTTTAGTATTTTGACTCTAGTACCGTCATTTATTTATCAAATTTAAAAAAGCTTTTTTATTAAAATGATCAGCAGAGAGCTCTGCAAAGTTCGATAGATGAAATATTTCCTGAGATCTATTTGTTTTTCGTGATGGACTACCCATTAACAATGCTCAATTATATGTCTAAAAATTTTGGAACTTTTGGTAATTCTTTAGCACATAGTCATTCGATGAATTGCTAGTTATACTACTAAATCCCGTTTTCGACGAGGTTTCATTTGACATAAGATTTAATGTTGATATAATTTGTATTTGGAGCTGTACCTTCTTGAAAAATATTATTTGCTATCTTGTAGAATCAAATCGGGTTCAATGTATTAAACAAAATAAATAAAAACATTACATACAATTTCGAAGGAAATTTTCAGCTCGATACATTGAGTCTATGAAGAATACAGCAATATCAAAAGTCTAATACAATGTTCACGTTACCTAAAGTTCGCTAAGAGTATATGAGACTTTGCATATCTAATGAAATATCAGTAGTTATAGAAAAAGCAAAATATAAATACTCTAGCAGTGGACTTCGCTTTTCTGTAAAGGATTTTTCTTTTCATATGAACTGATTTATTCAGATAAATATAAGAAAAAATTTAAATAAATTTAAAACAAACGAACAAATTTATTATATATATATATATATGAGAGATAAACTGATATTCCTTTTTTTTCCTCTTACAAAAAATAATGATAATCCATTGAATGAGAAAAGTCCTTCTGTTAAGAGAGAAGTAACGCATGATAATAGTAAAGTCCGTTGAGAAATAGAAAAGTTGGGTATACTACCAGTATGGCATAAATTTGGTGTTCTTTTACTTAACTAGTAAAGTCCTTCTATTCACTAGCAAACTTTAGATAAAGTGGATAATTTCGAGATCTTTGACAGCCCTCAACTTCTCTTTATCTTTCTGAGACTTATCAATCGCAAATTACATATATCAAGTGTTACAATGATAATTTATGAGTATTCTATTAAGTACGATCATATAAATAACTTATGAAGTGATGACTGAATGTTAATCGTAAAATTTTGTTTTTTTTTTACTTACATAACCATTTTCAAGCATCCTTATCTGGTTCTCTTCTTTGTTGAATTATGCGCAAAGTCGAAAAATGAGTTGTCTAAATATTACATCAAGGTGATATTTTGATAAGATATGAGTTGAGATGAATTATAGACATCATAGTGGGTAAGTCAAAAAGTAATGACGTCCAGTGAGTGAAATCATGAAATTTAGATTTTTAATGGTTTCTCGAAAGTTTGACATATGATAAGTTTTAGTCATGAATTGAATTTTATACTTCAAATCAAGTTAACAATGTGTTTGACTAGGAAACCACGTAAAATAGTCAATTTTTACAATCGAACGGAGTATTGCAAAGAAAATAGAAAAAAAAAATCTTTATCCAGAATTTTATGTAGAAATTAGTTTCATAATTCTAAAAATAGCCTATAAGTTTCAGTGAGAAGGATTAATTTTTTTCTAAGAACATTTAACATTCAAAAATTCTCGATTTTTGTGACTACTTCTGAAATCTTATTGATTTTCGAAGATTGACTATTTAAAAAAAGGAACATTTATTTTGACTGAAACTCTTCAGAAAAGTTTTTGGCTCATGAGACCCACTTATAGACAAAACAATCATGTCAGTAATCTTTCGTTCAATTTTTCTGTTAATATCCATTCCAGTTAGGGAGCTGTGGGTCTTTCCAGACCCGGATTTAAAGTTTTATTTTTTCCAGGCCCGGGTTCAACCTTTTATTTTTTGTCAGACCCGATTACACGTTTTTGTGAAACCATTGTTCTCCAGATGAGATATATAGCAACAAGATATAACTGTAAGGATGTCAGATATTGATGGAAAAAAAACCGCAGATTTGGATCCGGGCGCACAAAGATGCGGACCCACAGCTTCCTAATTCTAGTAGTAAAAAAATCATCTTGCATATTCACAACATAGGAATATGTATCATGTTGGATGATTCTCTTATACATGCATTATATCATTGTTTTCTGATCTCTACTAATTATCGAAAATATTCTTTCTGTAAAATCAAATCATCGTCTAGTTCACCGTATTGATTTTTCTTTTGTTCTTTAATTAGACAATATTTTCGTCAGTGGCGAGATAATCTTCAAGAAGAAAAAGATGATCGTCAATTAACACAATATGCTATTGATCATTATAATCGTTCATTAAAACGTAAAATTCTTCTTACTTGGAATAATGATATGATTCAACAAGTTTTAATTGATAATGAAAATGAAATGAAATTAAATAAATATCGACAAGAAAAAAATTATTTTTATTCACAAATTATTTATAATAAATGGAAACAAAAATCAAATGAACATTTACGTGATCGATTTCTTTTACAACGTTCACAAATATTTTATGAAAAAAATTTATTAAAAAAAATTTTTTCTCAATGGAAAGAACAACATCATTTTGATATGCGTATTAAAGTAAATTTAAATAATTAAATTTTATTTTTAAAATATTTCTTAATAAAATAGTTACTCCAACGACAAGCTATTTGGTTTGATCGAATGCGTTTAATAAGTCGAATTTATCTTCAATGGAAACAAAGATGGCAATCTGAACAAAAATTAAACGAAGAAAAACATCGTGCCTTACTTTTTTGGGCTTTACAATTACAAAAAAAGGTATTATTATTTTATATTTTTTATATGATTTCGTAACATATGAAGGCCGATTGTGAAATTTCAGAAATATTGAGATAAAAGAGTCAGATAATTTCGATTTAGCACGGTGAATTATTTCTCCCTAGGTGTTTTCCTGGAGGATCACAGATTAATTAACTGAAATCCGGAATCTCAGGAAAAGTCTTATAACTCTCGAATGGAACAAGTTCGGAATGTCGGACTTGAATAGATCGAAAGAGAAGAACTTTCTCTATCGATTAATTCTATTAAAAGTCTAAATCACACGGAAAATATCTGCAGAATATCGTTTTCGAAAATTTCCTCCAAGACCTCACCTGATTGATTGGTCAATTGCTGATCAATCAAATTTCGATGATCTTGGGTCTTCTCTCTTGAATGGTGAAAACCGCAGGTCTCTATGATGTTGCTATCAAATGTTATTTAAAAAATAATAGAGCATATTATATTTTGAAATGGATTCGATTTCCCAATGGATCTCTGAAAACCTGGTGTACACATTTTCTTGTTGGTTTGAATAAAGCATGGCAAAATACATCTAAAGAAATTTGAAAAAAATTTTTTCGAAGTCCTTGTGGATACCTTAGGAACCAATACGATCATATCGAAATAGTGCGAAGCTATTGAGTGTGGGAAATATCTTCTAACAACCTTCTCATCTGTTTCCAATTAAAAACAGCGTCGAGAAAACAATGACCCTATCGGAACATATTTTTTTCTTTTCAGTGTTTTGTAAAATGGTTAATTTATATAAGTAGTCGTAAAAGAAAAAAACTTCGTTATCATGAAGCAACACATCAACGACATGATGAACTTATACGTAATAGTTTACGTCAATTTCTTATCTATACAGATCATACAAGACAAAGACGGCAAGCTTTATTTATTCATCAACAAGTTTATGTATGTTTATAGATATTAATAAATAAATATTAAAAAATAAAATAAAATAAAATAATTTTTCTAGTTATATCATGATCGAAATGCATTAGCTTCGAAATATGTTTCCAAATGGCGTATATTTGTTAAAGAATCAATTGCACGTAAACAATTAACACAACGTTTAATACAAAGAAATACAAATATTGTACCAATAATAAATAATCCACTTGATCTTGTTAAATTTGATAATAGTCCACCAAAGTAAATCAAACTGATATGTTGATATTCACATATTTAGAGTCACTTGTCTTTGAATAGATCTGTTAGTTATTTTCTGAATTACTCTGAGTTTTTATTCTTCATAATACTAAGGAAATCTTTTTGTTGATTTTATTTTTTAGCATCGTGACTAATCAATTGTCGTATATCCCAAATTCTTCGTATATGGCAAATTTGATTGATGTTTTGTTGTAGTTATTCTTTTTAAGTTCTTTTCTCATGAGTATATATGAAAAAATATTCGGCTCTTCTTTGAACTTACAGAGCTAGTAAATAGAGATACACGCTATGAAAATTTTTGTTTTCCTGTGTCATGTGGCTGTCACTGATTCTTTTTGTTTTTTCAAGAATAATTCAGCGGAGCAATGGCTTCATATAGCTGAGTTCACTAGAGCATCTAGAGTAATTCAAGATATGCACATTTTTATTTTGCGAGATCACATCGATAAAACTTTCGAATTCAAATTTTATTCATCAGTAGGTAACTTATAGACTATAAAAAGCTCATAATAGAATAAAATTATACTTTTAAATTGTATGTTGAAACTTTGCTTACGTAAACGTCACTTATTGTACAAAGTTTCAGAATTTTTAGCAGATTCTGTGTCAGTATTTCAGCGACTAACTGGATATTCGCCAATCAGATTTTCGTAAGTGTGTCTTTCAATAACTGACGAAGATGTATTTCATTCTTAACAATTCGAGCATAGAATATCGAGACATATTCCCTTGTTAGATTTTTATGTATATTTTTTTTTCTAATTTCAATTATTAGAATAACGAATCGACCACGACCACGAAAACCTGCATTTTTATCTGAATCATTTTCCACTACAGCCATAGACAAAACGTAAATTTTTATTCAAATTAAATTTTTTCCGAAAATTTTGTCTTTCTTTTTATTGTAGAGAATCTGAAATACCAACAATTAACATTCGAACATCACCATCATCTCCAAAAATTGATCATTCATTACATTCACCATTTATTAGTATTAAAAAATCAACACATATTCGACAAGATTTATCATCATCACCACCGCCACCACCACCACCACCACCACCAATACTTCTTCCACCATCTGCATTTCAAATAAATTCAAATGAAATAAAAATGCCATTATCATCTCGACAAATAATTGATAATAAAATTCAAATATCTCATCGATCATATTCAACACAACCATCAACAAATATTTTTATTAATAAAGATAATTTACTTAATGTTAAACAACGTTTAGAAATTTATCTTAATAATAAAGCAAAACTTAAGTAAATAATTCTGAAAAACAAATTTTCTTTTAAAATCAAATATGTATTTTATTTTAGACGTCTTCGACAACAATTAGCAAATTTATCTCCATCACAAATTGATAAACAAGTAAAATATTTATTTATTTGTTTTTTTTTTTGTTGTTTCTATTTTTTAATTTTCTAGCTTGAACAGGAATGTCAACAATTAACTGCATTTATTGCTTCAGAAAAAATTCATTTGACTAGTATATTACAAAATTTATAATATTTTCATGTGCCTTTCTTTTTGTTTTTTTATATCAAACTATTCTTACTTGTTGTTGTTGTTTTTTTTTATCATGAATAATGTATAGGACTTTGATAAATAAATTACATCGGGCTATTCACATAGAAGATTAGGATCATGGTTTTTTTTGTGCTTTTTCTTCTTTTCGTAATCTCAGATCAGTTTAGATTTTTAAGAGAGCTCCCATGAGCTGATCGAGCATCGCTCCAATATACGAAGCATTCGATGGAATTTTTCTTTCGATTTTTTTCGCTTATTCAAAACTTCAATGTCTAAAACTACTAATCCTAAAATTTTAGGTTCTAATACCCTTCCTAGGAAAAGTTAATCAAGACCAACTTTTAGTACTCTCACACCTTTTAAGGAAAAAAAAACAAAAAATATCCTATAAAAGATGTACCAGCTTACGTTTCAACAGATTGTTGAAAATTTTCACGGTATACATAAGAAGATAGAGAATTAAAAGCTGAACAAAATCAACTATTTTAATATAATATAATCTCTAACAATTCTAGTTTTATAAAGCTAATATGAGTCAAAGGTGATCATTTTGATCAATTCAAATAAAACGGTGTATCTTCTGCTCTATTTCAGAATCAAGAGATACCAGAGTGAATTTTATATATATTGTGCAACTTTTTATTCTCTACAAAATGGTAAAAAAATATTTGAAAAAAAATTTCAAATTAATGCAGAAAAGGGTTTACACCTTCGAATTTTTCGTGATTCTACAATAGAATATGAACATTTTTAGCGGTTTGCATTGGTATGACTCAATGATAAACCAAAATAAATACGATACTCGGAATCAGCATGAAAATCTGCATCTATTCATATATATTTTAGCGAAAAATTTTTCCTGCCCATAATTGACCCGTAGTCCCCCACAGCTATATTTCAAAGAAATTTTTCCCCTGGCTGTTCACAGGTCAATTATGGGGAGGAAAAATTTTTCGCTAAAACATATATGAATAGATGCAGTTTTTCATGCTGATTCCGAGTATCATATTTATTTTGGTTTATCACTGAGTCATACCAATGCAAACCGCTAAAAATGTTCATATTCTATTGTAGAATCATGAAAAATTCGAAGGTGTAAACCCTTTTTTGCATCAATTTGAATTTTTTTTTTAAATATTTTTTTACCATTTTGTAGAGAATAAAAAGTTGCACAATATATATAAAATTCACTCTGGCATCTCTTGATTCTGAAACACAGCAGGAGATACACCGTTTTATTTGAATTGATCAAAATGGCCATCTTTGACTCATATTAGCTTTATAAAACTAGAATTGTTAGAGATTATATTATATCAAAATAGCTGATTTTGTTCAGCTTTTTATTCTCTATCTTCTTATGTATACCGTGAAAATTTTCAACAATCTGTTGAAACGTAAGCTGGTACATCTTTTATAGGATATTTTTTGTTTTTTTTCCCTTAAAAGGTGAAAGAGTGCTAAAAGTTGATCTTGATTAACTTTTCATAGGAAGGGTATTAGAACCTAATATTTTAGGGTTAGTAGTTTTAGACATTGAAGTTTTGAATGAGCGAAAAAAATCGAAAAAAAAATTCCATCGAGTGCCTCATATATTCGATGCCTCCATGGACACTCTCTTAATTCGTTGTCTAATTGAATAAATATGCAGTTCAGTATTCGAATGATTTATTTCTATTTACCATAGTTTTATTTATTCTAGGCTAGTTCGTTATAATGTTAATGATAGCTATGATTGTATTGATATATGATAAATCGTATGATAATTTAGCTAAATGTTAATTATAGATTAATGTAAAAATTAGAAAAATGTGTATAGAATAATGAAAACTTGTTGTCATTTATTGATTAGTAAGAAGAGAAAAAAAAGGTAACAGAAAGAAAAATAACAAGATCTTGCCTTCTTTTTTTTCTTTTCCAATTCTAATCAACACGCACATACAACGCAGAAAAATAATCATCGAAGCTTCCATTGTGAACATTTGTTAATGATTATCATGCCAATGAAAAACTAACAGTATGCTAGTGTTTTTTTTTTACATCCATTATAAAAATGATGAAATGAACAAAAATTAATAAATCTTGTTTTCTTTTGAAGAAAAAGAAATTTTAAGACCTTTTATATCATAATAATTTAATGAATATTTGTTTCATTATTTCGAACAACTACATATTATATTTCTTTTTTGTTTATATTTATAAACTTTAATAATTAATTTAGTAAAACTTTCAATTAATGAATCAATCTAATACATCAAAACTTTCTACATTCACATCAGTTATTCCTAATCAACAATCATCAACTACATTTCATGGAAAAGGTTATATTAATATGGGCCCATTAATTGCTAAACATTATGAAATAAAACAAGCTTCGAGTTCAATTGAACCATCAATTAGTAACAATCAATATGAATTCAAAGTCATGCTATTAGGTGATAGTGGTGTTGGTAAGTTGTGTATTTACATAATAGTTTCCTTTTCTTAATTAAATTATAGGGAAAACATGTATACTCATACGATTTGATAATGAAACATTTTTAACTAATAATTTTCATAGTACTGTTGGTATTGATTATCGACATAAAGTTATAACACTTGGAAATAAAAAAATTAATTTACAAATATTTGATACAGTAAGTTGATTATTATTGTTTTTCAACTTTGAAAAGATAAATTGTCTATTGATGAGGAATTATATTTGATTTTTCTTTAAAAAAAAAAAGGCTGGTCAAGAACGTTTTCGATCTGTAACACATGCTTATTATCGTGATGCACATGCATTATTATTAATATATGATGTAACATCTTATTCATCATTTGAAAATATATCAGTTTGGTTAAATGAAATAAAAGAATATACACATAATGATATAATAATAATGTTAATTGGAAATAAAGTTGATAAATCTCAACGTGTTGTATCACGAGAAGCTGGTGAACGTTTAGCACAAAATTATCAAATTTATTTTCTTGAAACATCAGCTAAAACAGGTCAAAATGTTGAATTAGCTTTTATGACAACAGCTCAAGCTATACTTGATAAAAAATTACATACAAATAATACAAATCATTTATTAAATGATAAAATTAAACTTAAAAATACTGAATTAAATAATTCATGTTGTTAAAAAAACATTTTTTATTTTTCTAATAACTGAATATATACACATATATATGAAATCTTATTTAATATATTTTAATTGTAAACATATATTATTTGCTTGTATTAAATTAAAAGCAAAATGCTGATCTATGAAACAAAAAAAGAAAAAAGCTTATTTCGTATTTATTTGTTTATTGTTTTTTAAATTCTAAATTTTACCTAATAATTGATAAATATGAACAAATTGTAATAATGTTAAATTTTTAGATGATAAAATTTCTTGTTCAATAATTTCATATTCATGATTTATTGATTTTTGATATATTTCAAAAATAAATAGTAAATATGAAGATGATGATGGAATTACATAAACTGATGTTTTTTCAAATGTACGAGTTAGAACATAAATTACTGATGCTTGTAAACGAGTAAGAATAGGTGTAGATTGTACATAATAAATACCTTTTTGTGATTGTAACTAAGAGGAAAAAAAATTAATTTTTATGAAGAATTCAAGTTGTGTAATGATTTATATTGTACAAAATTTTTCTAGTAATAGCTGACTGTTTTTCTTACTGACAGTGAGTAGTTCTTACGAGGAAAGTTCTTGACGTATCGGATTTTTACTGGCATCTGTTGTTCTTCTCAGGTCATCATGACAAAATTGAATTTTGATTTGAAACTTTATCCAAATAAAGTTCTTAATAAGATTAATTTATTGAGAACGTTTCGTTGATTTTTTTTTAAAAAATATTCTCACTCTATATTATTTAATTCTAACTAAAGTATCTCTAAATTTATTTTCTTCCAACTCAATTGAAACTATTCAATATTTAATTTGAATAATTTTCAATTTAAATAAAAGAATAATTTCATAAGATCTTCTTTTCTTATTTATTCATGTATCTGCATGTATAAGTCTTTTTCTCCCTTACTCAAAATAAAAAACAACTACAATTAATAAGTAGTCAAAGTAACATTTAAATAGCTATGAATGTTTATAAGTTAGTGCTCTAAGAAATAAAATTCCTTGCTCGAAATAAATCAGTTAGAATAAATAAATAGTTGAGTATTTATTAAATAGTACTTCTAAACAATTATCAACTGTCTACAAGATATTACACATTTTTAAATTTAACTTGGCATCTGTCAATTCTCTTGCCAAGCATTTCATCAAAAACACTTGTGTAGCTCTTAGATACCATGTAGGCATTCTATGAACACTTTCTATTAAGAAAAACACAATAGATTTCATCAATCTTAAAGTTTCCTTTTCCTGTCTAATTATTTTCAGCGAGATTCACTGTTTAACCTATTTCAATAATAAATATACTGATTGGAATTCGTTCTCACAAGAACTACAAATGATAATCAGGAAATTTTATCTCACTTCTCAAAATTAAAAGTCTTCTTTTGTTCTCTTACACAATGATATATATGATAAATCTTTCTATTCGTCATTTTTCACGTCAATGAACTTTTTCTTTTGTATTCAAAAAAAAAGAAAAGAAACCTAGATTAAATTACTATTCTTTAATTATCTTTACAATCAAAGATTCAAATTTCTTCAAATGAAACTTACATTTATTTGATAATTACGAGCAAATTGTTGAAGTTTTTCAAATTGTTCATTAGAAATTTCTATTGAAGATGAATTTCGAATTGATTGTAAATCAATTAAATTTTCATTCTGTATAGAAAAAAAAAAAAAAAAAAAACTTTAATTAAAAAAAAAACAAATTATATTATTCTTACTAATAAAATTGTATTAATATTAATTTTATTACATAATTCAAGTAAATATCTATTACAAAAACATGAATTTCGAATATTTTCTGTTTTTTTACCAAATATACAATCAATAATTATTTGTTTA